TTTACATCTTTTCTCCATAGATACATCATGGGAATGCAAAAATCCAAAATGTTTAGAACACAATCAGCGAACTTCTGTGTGGAGTCCGGTTAAACTCTGGTGGCAGCCATGCGTAATCATTATTACGACACGTTGTAACTTACAACGTTACAGTGACAGATATATAGGACCCAGACACGTGCTTGAAACTAAGAATCCAATTATGATGGGCTGATAACAAAACATGTTTATTTTTTATATTAAAATAAAGTATTTTTTGCTTTTATTATGCATTAATCATGTTCTGCTTTCTTTCCTATTGTAGATTAACTATATCAGAGAGAGTTCATCTGTAACATATTATCACCTACGTAAATACGAGTATTAACATGTAGTCACTGTACCCTAATATACGAGTACTTAGATACAGCCACTAACACTAGAAGTATTTGACACATAGATAATCTATGTAGACACGTCGTGACCACAAACGTATCAGATGCTCAATTGTTTGTCAATTATCTCTTCCATCATACACGTACACGTACAATCAAACATGCAAAGTGCATTAGGTTTTCAAAAATCGATTTGTGTGTTCAATTGTCAAGATAATCAAACGACATACAACAAATAAGAAAGCGTGAAGCTTGTTGAAAGTGTTTCTGCGTTTTATAACAAAATGACAAACTCAGAGATAAACCCGTGAATTTTTATATTGATATTAACATATAAATCAATCTTGATGGAATTCACTGAAATGTAAAACGAGATACAGTACAAGTTTTATTGATTTAGTCATAACATGCAAGGCCTTCACTTATAGATTGGATTATTAATGCACTTAGTGGAACTCGTTGACATGGCAATATATTCTAGATTATACGATACGGTTAATTTATTCATTAATTATTATTATAATTAGTTATGAATTGAAAACCTGGTGTATCTATTACAAATTCTAGTACCGTGCGCAATCATGATTGTCAGCCGCCAAAACGAATATTCGTTCCATTACGCATACGTGCAGTTTGTACAAGAGAAGGCATTTCCTGTCAGAAAAAAGTAGTTCTTTGTAATCTGCCAATAACCACAGATCACTCCGCTGCTTATATACAGCTTCTGACGCCCAAGTGTTATATTCACAGATTGAGCGTGAAAACCGTTACCGTGCTGCTGTGATATGGCGTCTGCATATAATTTGTACAGTTTACTCGTATCCTACACCAAGACCCAAGTATGCATAGCAGCCTGTGAGATGAATTTATTTGATATACTTCAAGATGGACCCAAGACTGTCGGCGAGATATCGGAAATAGTAGACGCAGATACAGATCGCACAGAACATATTCTCAATGCGTGTGTTGGAATGGAACTATTGGAGAAAATACAAGACACCGATGGTGAAGGCTGCCTATTCCGCAACACGCCTGATTCGAATAAACATCTGACTTCATCAAGCCCGTTATCAATGCGTCCTCTGTTTGTGGGAATGGGTCGAACGGACTATCATTTGGTTGGCAACCTGTTTCATGCAGTGAAGGAGGGCAACTCGCAAATACCACGTACGTTTGGCAAACGAAATTACTTCGATGACCTTTATCGCGATTCCAACGAAATGAAAGGATTCATGTCAGAAATGCATTCTTATTCGTCTGTGTTTATGCGTGAGTTGGTATCCCTTTTTGATTTGTCGCCTTATACGAAGGTTTGTGATCTTGGTGGTTGTACTGGTGCCTTGGGTTACGCCCTCACAGCCAACTATTCAAAGATGACGCTGACCGTACTAGATCTCCCGGATGTCATCGCGCTAGCCGACCAGTTCAAGTCAATCGATCCAAAGTCGGAAAAAGTAACATTTATAGCTTCTGATTTCTTTGAAGATCCGTTGCCGCAAAGCGATTTGTTCGTATTAAGCAATATTATACATGACTGGTCGGAAGATCGCATAGCGTTATTATTAACGAAGGCATACAACGCATTGGACACTGGCGGCGCAATATTTATCATTGAAGCCTTGTACGATGACGATAAAACTGGGCCTGTGACAACTGCTGCTATCTGCATGATGATGATGGCGTGGTTCGAAGGAGGTAAGCAAAGAAGTGCTTACGAAATGACTCAACTTCTGGAAAAACATGGATTTGGTGACGTGGAAGTGAAAAGAAGCGGTTCTGTCTTCGATGCAATCTTGGCAAAGAAAATGTGAAAGACGTATGTGCCAGTCTTTCTTCACCAGTTATAAGACTGTATCATGATATCCCTCTCTCCCCGTCACCAGTTGTAAAACTGTATCATGATATTCCTTTCTCCCCGTCACCAGTTATAAGACTGTATCATGATATCCCTTTATCTCCATCACCAGTTATAAGACTGTATCATGATATCCCTCTCTCCCCGTCACTAGTTATCAGACTGTATCATGATATCCCTCCCACCCGTCACTA